GTTCGATTGTTTGGAGATTGGATCAATATTTGATTGGAAGCAACTCTCTGAAACCTATTTGGCCTGTTTCATCACCAACAATAAGATCCCGAAGGAGGTGGATGGATGCTCTTCTCAACTTAAAGGGAAATAATGGATTGCTAAAGGACTGTTCTTGCTAATATTTGGAGACATACAATGATATCGACACCAGTACCTGCAACAAGCAATCAGCCATTGTGTCAGTCAAACATGACTTGCTTTTGAAACACTCAGGATGGTTTACAAGGAGCCCCATAGCGGATGGGGAGGAGAGCATAGGGAAACCAAGGCCAAATTGTAAACGTAGTCTTCAAGGAATCGATCTACAAACTCCTAAATAAAATCAAGGATGAGCCCTTCTTCTTTTGGCCACTCAAGATGATAGGGGACCTAAGTGGAACCAAAAGTTGAGGTGTTCTTACCACAAGGACTGATGGCACATGATGCATAATTGCAAGGCCTTCAAACAACACCTGGAAGATTTGATGGCAGTTGGGCATCGTTAGGACTATGTCGATGCCAAGAAGGCCCTTCCAAAATTGTCATCAATATGATCCATGGAATGGTGGATCCCGATCATGAGAACACCCTCCAGGGGGAGATATAGAAAGTCATTCATCTCCAGGAAGTCATGTTAATCAAGCAGGTGGCTAAGAGGATGAAAACCAAGCCCTTAGTTGCCAGTTTGATGTAGCTTTTACAGACAGAGATTTGGAGGGAATCCAACACCCTTGCACAGTTGCACTGATGCCCTTATTGTCACCATTGGAATATGGAAGAAAAATGACATGAAGAGGATTCTTGTGTATCAAGGTAGCTCAACTGAAATCATGTACTTCAAATTGTTCAAAAAACTCAGTCTTGAGTAAGCAAGACTTGAAGTCGGTCATCACTCTGTTCGGATTTAATTCACAACCAAAGTGGCCTTCGGGTAAATTAACTTTGCCCATACAAGTTGAATTAGTAACCTTGGATGCTGAAGTTTTGGTGAACATTCAAACCCCCCCCCCCCCAAATGTGTGCACATATAATCTGATTTTGGTAAGACCATGTTAGTACCTTTTGCCTTACAACTAACCTAGATGCTCTGGCCTCATGGCTGGTGTAGGATTTTGGTAAGACCATGTCTCCATCAGATGAAGGCAGTGCCAAGGTTTGCTATAATTCTTCACATAAGTTATTTATATAAAAAAAAAAAAATTCTTCGCATAAGTACCTTTTGCCTTACAACTAAACTAAATGCTCAACCTCATGGCTAGAGCAGGGTCATTGAATGGATTAGCTCATTGGATTTTATGTACAAGAAGTTGAACTCTTGCATGGAAAACAGTGCGTAGGAGATTGGTGGATAATCAAGCGGAAAAAGCCTCAAGAAGGATAAAACACTTGGAGGTCATTTGTTTAAATGCTTGGCTATTTGTAAAAAAATATTTACTTTTAATTTGGAATAATGCAAAAATTAGGTTGTTGGTTTAGCCATTGTTTGGGAAGTGGGTTTGGGTGAATTTGGGGCTAAAATAGCCACAAAAAACAAAGCCCCAATAAGACAAAACATCACATCTAACCCATAATCATTACATTTTTTTTTTCACAAAAAAAATCAAAAAACCCAAAGTCCTTCCCAAACCAGGCTTTTTAGCCCTAGGCTAAAAGGCCAAAAAGCCAACCCATTTCCCAAATCAAGCCTTAGTTAAGATCCAACTTGCAATTCACATTTAATGCCAAAAGTAAGGTATATCCTAAGAAACACGGACACTTCTACGAAGGAAGCACACGACGCCCGTGTCGAACATTGACTCTTCGGATACTCCTAAATATGTGTCTGACACTTCTTCAACGTATCTTAATTAAAAAAATCAAATTTATAATATCGAACATTTATCAACCCATCAGTGACACTTCTTGAACCCTCTAGACATGTCCTATGTAATAACAATATTCTGCATTCTTCTATGCACTTTGAATATGATTTGAAGCATTAATAAAATGAATATACCATGTATTGTAATGTTCTATATGTAAGAATGGAATTGTCACGTAAATGGTATCTTAGCGTATTTAAGTTATGGAGTATATAGCTTTTAATGTAATTAGTGTTATTTTACATATTTTTTTATTATCTTTGAATAAATTACTCATATATATTATATATGACATAATAATTTTGTAAAAATATAAATTTTTAACGTGTCTCAAGTGTGTTGTGTCCTGCATTATTTGAAAGTCCAAGTGTCGGCACATCAGTGTTGTGTCACGGGTCCGTGTCTATGCTAGTTAGGTAATAAGCCAAAATTCAATGTCATCATATTAAATTACTATCAAACCAATTTTTTTTTTTTTTTTTTTAAAAAAAAAAAAAAAAGGGTCTAATGAAATTGACTTCACCTCTGCATAGAAGAAAACATTATTCCGGCTGAGGTATGGCTTATTCTAGGTACGTCTGGGATGCAACAAAACTTAAGGAGAAAAAATTTAAGTACGTATTTTGTGTACCCATGTTTCGTTTACGTATGTAGAATTACCATGCAAAGTACGAGTACTTGGTACGGGTATGGTGTGTTTGTCAAAGTACCCATGCTTCACAAGGTAAAGACTAATTAACCATAATAAATTTCACTTGTTGGACAAATAGCTTCTGTGCCTCCTACCTATCAAATTTTGGATTATATACAGCTTTGTATTGAGCCCACCGAGTCCAGTCCCTAGGTATCTGGCATCTATACACTTTTAATCCCTGTGTGAGAGGCTGTCTATTATAAAGAAGTAAAAACAAATGTCACTTTAGTGTTCTCCCCATCTTGGATGTTCAGGCCAGGGGGATGGCTTCATTTCTTACTAGCTTGTTGATGTTGGTGGGAGAGGATTGTGTGGACTGTAGAATGTTTGTCTGTAATGCTTTCAATATATTCTTGGTTTTTTATTTTGTGAAAATACGCTTAACTGTTCATTTTTACATCTCTGTCATAATAACACAATTTATCTAAATAATTGTTCACCATTCATCAGAATTTTTGTCCAGATCTTAAGATATGGTAAACATTTCTAATTAATAAATATATATCGATAAAAAAATTATAACTGATAAATGGAAAATTTTCTGCTCCCATTTTAATGCATTAATCTTCAAGATTTAATCTTCTTGTGAAAAGGTTTATTGCTGAGAAAAATTGGTGACTTTTAGGCCTTAGATATGCTTGTGTTGTGCCTACTATTCTAGAACCATGTTTTCCATAACTAGTTGATTAAGCGAACACCATCTAATTTTTGTCTTATGATAGGCAAAAGAATATGCCCGTTCAACAAGAAGCAGTTCAATATCCACTGCAAGCCAAGCTGAAATTGGGAAGAAGTTGGAAGAGTGAGCTTCTGCGTTAAAACAGGTCCTACTGCGATTGCAGATTCAGATTATGAATTTACCGTTCGTAGGATTTGCATTTTGTCATTGCATTTTGTTGCAATGGCAGGACTCTATGTGGGTGCTAATGTATGGTTTAAATCATTAACTTGCTTTGTGCCATTGGGCAGGTGCAGTGCTACCATCTGGGCTGTGTAGCTGTTTTCATTTATTTGATTTTATTCAAAGTTATTGCATGCATTTGGATTTTTTGGTTCCCCATAGTGGTATGATTTTATTTTACTTTCTATAAAAAAGAGGAATTTCCTTTTGGAGAAACTGAGCTTTTATTAGGAACCTTTGTAAAGATCTTGCTCTTATGGCATGTAGTATCAAAATTTCTGTAGAAAATTTACTGATATCTGTTTCTTGTATTATAGGAGCGTGCAAACAAAAACAAGTATCTCAAGCTTCTCATAGATCAGCTACGGGATCTTATTGCTGATATATCAATGTGGCAAAGTCCTTGTTCTATCTGAAGTTCACCGTAGTAGATATACTTGCTCTTTCTGGAATTCTTGAACTTGAGACTAATTGAGTTTGACAATCTTTGAGGTGATTATACTTGAATCTCTACATTGTTGGTTCAGTGAAGCTGCAAATTTGTTCATCGAAGCTGTTCTTAGATTGATCAGATGTGGGTGACTAGGTTCTACGAGACAAACCATCCACTGGTTGCAGAAATGCTATGAAACAAATGGTGCATCGTTAAGGTTCTTGATGTGTTAAACACTACAGATGAAGTTATTGATCAAACAAATCATCAATATTATGGGTGATTTTTGCGGTCATTTAAATGATTGAATCTGTTGTTTCGGTAAATGTACATGCTGACATCAATTAGAAGTCAATAAATACACTTTCTTGTGGTCAATTTCGTGGTACTTTCATTTCTCCTTTATTGTTATGGTGGCTTTGAGGTATGGCTTATGGATCATATTCTTAGGAACATTATCAGTTCATTGACGCAATTATGAAACTTTGTGTGGTCCTGTAATCTGGCAATCTCTCTCTCTCTCTCTCTCTCTAGCACAAACATGGGCGCACACAATGTTAAAAAAGTGTCAGACCTTTAAAGCCCAGAGAGTTATTAATGAGAGTCCATGTTTCAGTCTAGATATAGATAATGGTGTCATTTTCTCGCCCTTTCAGAGTTATGGACCAAGGACAAAATTAACTTATTCCTTTAATTTTTTTTATTTCTGTTTATATGTTTGTCCATCGAGCAGCATTATATTGTAATTGTTTGCTGCATTCTATTTAACATCCATGATTACCACGTGAGTTTCTTTGGCCGTTACTGACAAATTAACTAATGTTTCTGAGGGCATGTGCAGTTGGATTCTATTGGAACTTACTTGATTCAAAGTTGTTCCCAACTAGTTGACAATTGGGTAAAGCTTTTTAACAGTTCTCTGTCACTTGTGTCTGATCTTGTAAAGCCCTGGTTGTGTGGTGGTGAGATAGTAGTGGCGGTGGTGATGGTAGAGATGGAGATGTGTTCTAGGTCTACCCTACAGCCCATGAGATGAGACTCATTTGCGATTTACATGTCATAAAGCGTTGTCACAAGAACTCAGGCAAATGAGGAACTGTCTACATAACCATTGATTCTGAACACCAACCAAGATTAACAACAGTTACAGCTCAATATCTCTCAATTGCTGCAAAGGTAATTATTTATGAAAGTCCATTGCCATCTTTCAAGATAAACAGAGGATTGATTATATGATGCAAGCACAGAAACTCGACTTCATAAAACATTTTTTAAAAACAGCTTTAAGAAGCGGGTTACTTCAAGCAAGCTGTTTTGGTTCAATGCTTGGAAAGGCCACAGAAGCAACCAACCAAATGACTTTTGACTAGCTTTCTTTTTATGGGTTCGCTAACTAAGAACAGACATTCCTAAAGTGTATATCAACTAGAAACGTTGAGACAAGAAGAACAAAATGGGTGGTAGGATGATTTTGATTAGTTGTGGAGTGGAGATCTGGTGGTGAGGGAGGACCTCATGTCGACAATGGCAGATTGGTCTGCACCCAACTTGATGGCCTCTTTGCTTGCCCTTATAAACCTCGACACGGCACCCCTTACATACTCATGAGCTTCCTTGACATTCATTTTCTTGCTCATCTCATCTGGAAAACTGCTCAGAAAGTGGTCGCCATTAAGAACAGCAGCCAGTTGGACTACCTCGCTCTGAAACTCGGACAACCCCCTATTTTCATCTGCTTCTGTTCTTCTCAATGGAGCCACATCTGGCAGGACCTCTGTTACCAATACAACATAATCCATAAATATACAAATATATATTTCTTGTATGAGCTTATAGTTACAAGCTGTAAAAGTAGAGCAGCATATAATTGTGGTGAGTTCTTTAATTTTTTGAGGCAGCAGGTTCTGAATATGATTGGTTTTTTCACCATAATCCTTTTATGAATCTCCCAAACACTCTGATAAATTCTAGCAGATCAGTGTCAATAAATTGTAATCTATTCAAAAGCCGTGATCAATCCTAGAATTGATTTGCACAACTCTTTCATAAAACCATGATGACAGCCTATGTTACTCTCTATGCTTTCTGTTTTCTGGTATAGTTCAAATGACCCATGCTACTTCACTGTCTTCCTTTTCCCATTTATCTTAGATTTTGTATGCTTCTTGCCTGACTTGCATTTATATTTTTCCAATCAAAGTATGTTCCAAGGTAGCCTTAGCAGCAAATAATTTCAATTGTGTAGTGATTTTTAAAAACAAATACCTGGGCAATCAGTTCTGGGAGAGGCTAATTCTCCAACAACCTGCTCGAACGTGCCAGCCCAAGCATCTCTGTGAGTCAAGAAGTTAGAGGACAGGTTGAACATTTTCTTTATCGTCGCAGGGATCGAAGAATGCTCGTATTCTGAATTCGGAGCAGGTCCTTTTGGGCTGCTTATGACTGCATGGAGAACAGGGAATAAACAAAGATTGCTAAGATTACTCTTGATATTGATGAAGATTGGTAAGATTACTTCACTTATTATTTTCTATTTTTTAGTTAAATTTTCCCCTTATGAATGTCAATATTTAACCAGTTTCTAATATGATATATGAAGGGCAGTGCATAAATTACCAGTTCCTTTCTTGATCCAAGGAGAGACCATAATTGTTGGGACACGAACTCCGAGCCGATCGAACTTAAAGAAATATGGAGCAGGCCCAGTGTTCCCATCTGGATTGGGAACATTTTCATAAGGTGTTTGCACATGGTCATAGAACCCACCATGCTCATCATAAGTAATAACCAACAGTGTCTCATTCCACTGAGGACTAGCTCTCAGTGTCTCATAAACCTCCTTCACTAGCTGCTGCCCATTAGCAACATCATGTGATGGATGATCATCATTTGCAGGCAGTCCCTTTATGTCAAAGTATCTCGGCTCGATCACCGACAAGTTAGGTAACTTACCATCTCTAGCATCTTTCTTGAACTTCAAACCATACAGATGGAACTTGCATATGTACTTCAATTTCCTCAAATTTCTATAGAAAAACGTTGTGGGTATGTTTTGAAAGTATATACCAAAATTGAACCCATTGTCATGAAGTGAATCAAATATGGTCTGTTGTGGGTACCCTGTAGCTAATTGTTTCTTGACATGGCTTGTTGAGCCATGAGAGGTTGCTGAGTACACAAATAGCCTATTGGGTTGGGTTGGACCCGGAATTGAACAGAACCATCTATCAAAAACAGCAAATTCTTGAACCAAAGCTGCGAAAACCGGCACATTTTGGGGTTTAAAGCCTTTCATTACAGTTTCAGTGAGGTTCTGAGACATGGAAAGAGCTTGTTCTACAAAGCCAGTCATTGAAGGGATGGGACCAGACCCAAATACCTGTTGTTCAACAGCTTCAAATGAGTGACCCGGATCCGGATCCACAAACTCAGCATCATCTTTGAAACAGATGGATTGAGTTTGAGGGTGGTCTTGGTCTTTGGTTGAAACTGGGTTGCATTCTTTACCTGTGACACCATCGATTGATGGGTTGATAGAGTTCTTCATCCACCCAATCATGTGATCAAAAGATCTGTTCTCCAAAACCAACACAACAATGGTTTTGATGGGTTGCTGCTGCTGCTGTGCAATTGCATACCCATGATTGTTGTGCTGGGAAACTGTAGAAAGGGTGAGAAAGAGCAAGAAAATGGACTCAAGTGCATTTCTGCGCCTCATGTCAGACCCCCCACCAGTAGGTCTTTCTGCTCATGTTCTCAGGCTTGGTGGAACATAAGCTCCCTTGGTCAAGCTTCCATCCTCCAACTCAATCACCGAAGTCATGGACACATCCTTATGACCCTCTAAGATTCCCTTCAGTAAACCTGAGCACCGCCATGGTTTCACCATGGTTCGAAATGCTCCGATCCATCCCACTCTGTTGGGAAGCTCCTCATGCAGAGCGACCTCGACATGGCCACCGGCTGGCTCTGCACTCAGATTCTCAATCCCTCCGCCGTACACGGTGTCACCAAGTTCTTCGATCTCACTCCGGCGAAGTTCCGCCGCAATTATCTCGGCCTCAAGCAGCGCCGGCTCAAGCTCCTCCCACTTCTTCCCTGATGCAGCAATCATTGCTGCGCACACTGCACCCTCTGGGCACCACAACCATGCATATCATCATCCTCATCGTATGCCTCTTGGGCCTGTTGCTGTTTCCGACGCATCTCGTCCTCAATGTTAACATCATGCAGTGTAGTCTCCTCACATTCATCCAACTCCATCTCACCCACCTGTGTACACACACTCACTCTTTCAATTCCCAAAACCCTTTCAACTTTCTCACCAGACCATACTCTTCACAGAACCTTCCTCTCATTGTCCTTCACGTGTATGTAAGGGTGTTGGGGGTCACCCCCACTGGGTTCTAGAGCACTGTTGTACATTATATATCTAGTAATAAGTCATTTAGGCCTAGTTTGGGAAGATTAAAAAAAGACAAAAAGTCACTATCTTATTTCAGTCACATACATCACTTCAAACCCAACCCAAACCCAACCCATATTTCATAAAAAGTCAAAAAGTACACTTATTTAGTCTTTCCAAACTAGGCCTTAATAAAGTACATTTTCACATAAGAAGAATAACAAACCTCCATGAAGAGTGAAAGCTTTTATACAAAGAGATATTATTAAAACAAAATAAATAAATAAATAAATAAAAACAAAAACAATAAATGCCACCAAATAATTTAACCTATAACTATGCCGTAATTTTCCCCTTTACGTTACAAAATAAATTATTTTAAATGAGGTATAATCTATTATGTATAAAAACGTATTTAGCAGGGTAATTTAAAATGTTTGACGGAAAGGGATTGGTGATCAGTAAACATTATACCAAGATTGTTTCTTTTATCTTGACAGTGAGTAAAGTTATTTTTTTTTCTTTAATATCAAAAGTAAAGCTTTTACTTTTAAAAAGAAAAGATTGCACTAATTTACTTGATTAATCAACCAATGACAACTCTATGAAATGAACCGTCATTAAGATTAAAAAAAATGTCAAAATGGTAGAATTTCAATTAACGTTTTTGGACCTACATATTTTTATACTTTTCTAACACATTTTAATATAATTTTTTTTATACATATATCCATATTAATGATGGTCATTAATATTTTTTCCCCTATTTTTTAGCATATGATCATATGGGGTGCCTTGAAAGATTATAGCATATACTATTTCCATTCAAATTGTTTGTCTGACATGAAAAATAAAAACTTAAATATATACTGTATTCACGTAGTAAAATTTGCTTTTAAAAAATTACTAATTAAAATATCTCTTTAAGTACTTTTAATTTGTGATTTTTCAATAAAAAATTATACATAATTATTTTTAGATCTTCGTTTTTCGTCGAATAAGCAATTTGAATTAGAGGGAGGAGTATTTCTTTTCAGGATTTCAATAACTAGATTTTTAGGTTATCCAACAGCACGGTCCAGTCCGATCTTGGACTGGACCAAAGCCACTGCCTTTAAGGAACATATAATACGCATAGAGGTTTAAAAAAAAAAAATACCTTTGATTTAGGGTTGGTTTAGAAAATAATTTTTTTGATTAAAATATAAGGTAAAAAAATTGAAGTGTTTTGAAATAGCTTTTGATTTTTTACAAAAAAAAAAAAAAAAAAGTGTAGAAAATAGATAATGAAAATAAATTTTTAACTTTTTTATATAATTTTTTGACTTTTTAATTAGGATAAATTATAGTTATTTCTCCTGATATTTCTGATATTTACAGGGACCTCCTTTAATATTTTGAAAATTACAATGGCCTCCTTATGCAAATACTTCTATTATGCTAATTTTTTCTTAGACACCATTAACTTTTGCAACTAAATGTCAAAAATACTCTCTATTTACTCTTTTCTGATCTGTTTTCCTTCCCCCAATCATTACGTATTGCCTCTGCCCACTTTGTAACTATCTTAGCTATTGCTCTCTGCCTGTAATTCAATTTCTAAAGTGAAATTATATATTTTTATGATAATGTTATGCCTTTTTATCAAAATATTACTTAATAATTTAGAATATGATATAATTTATTATGATTTAGTAACATTTTGATAAAAATAAAAAAAGAATACTACCATCAAAACTATATCACAATTGTTATAACAAACAATATCTAATAATAAATTATCATAGCATTATCAGAAAATTAGATAACATTTATTACAAAAATTTGTAACATTTAAAAAAAAAATACATAATAAAATGGTGTATTTGTATATTGTCAGCTAAAGTAAGGGTGGTTAGTATAATTTTCAAAACTTCAGGAGAGTTCCCTATAATTATCAAAAACTTCAAAGGAGATTAGTATAATTTGCCCTTTTAATTATATTAGTGTGTCGTCAAATGATGCCTTAATTATCGAGAGAGAAATGCATTATAGTATTCTTTCTCCCCAAAAAATAGTAAATTATGCAAATGGCCCATGCAGTTTACACGATGTCTCAATTTGGTTCATGTTATTTTAATTTGCTCAATTTTGTCGTTTAATTTAACAGATTGTGTCCTATTAATCCAATAAATAATAGCCGTTAGGTTTGGTGGATGGAAAGTCGTCACATGTTCAAACGATGTACTAATTTGGTCTTTGTAGTTTACACGATGTGTTAATTTGGTTCTTATTATTTTAATTTGCTCAATTTTAACATGGACTAAATTAATACATTGTGTAAATTACAAGGACTAAATTGACACATCGTTTAAGTTTTCATCCACCAAACTTAACGGCAATTATTTATTAGACTAATATAACATAATCTATTAAATTAAAAGATAAATTTAAAAAAATTAAAATAATATAAATTAAATTGACATATTGTATAAACTATGTAATTATTTATGTAACTTTAAAAAAAAAAAAAAAACTGAAAAACCTACTGGAGCTCTAGCAAGCGGTGTGTACAAAGTTGAATATTGATGCCAACCCATATTCACACAAAACAACAATCACACGTGATCATATATGTGACACTGAGCATTTATTATTACTTATCTTTATTTAGAGCAACTCCAACCCTGGTGATTAAATGCCTAGAAAAAATATACTACATAAAAATATTCTTTTTATTTTATCTAACTAATTTAATTAACTAGTGTTAATTTGATTGGTTAGCTAATATATATTGCCGCCACAACATTATTTATTTTACTTAACTAATTATATTATTTTAAAAAAAAAATACTATAAAACATAAATAAAAACTAGAATTTTTTTATGACATGTCACATGATATGATTGTTGTGTTGGAAAAAATTACTCACATTACATAATTTTACATTGCATTTCGCAAAATTATAAGATGAACAAAACAAACCTTCAATCCCAGGAAAAATAACATGCTGAATAAAATACAGATAAAATATAAAATGGTTAAAGGAAGCAAACCGAAACCTGTGTGATACCACAGTCTCCTTAAAATAGATTCGCCGCCTCACCGTTGGGTGCTGGAGGTATGCCGGCGTCTACTTCCCAGGATACGACGGTTTTTACCAGCTACAACAAAAACACCTTCTGATTAGCTTAACGAACGGACAACGGCAGCACTCTCTCTCAGGAAGAAAATTATAGGAGATGTAGACTGACAGTGTATGGATGTCAAGGAAAAATTCTATATCTCTTTTCAAGGAATATGGCCTCCTTTTATACACCATGGGGGAGAGAGGAGGAGCCTCTAGCCATCAAGGCTGGCAACTAATGCTAGCAAAACTGCTCAATCAATTTTGTAAAACTGATGAGCCTTAAATGTGTGAGTTATATACACATTTATGAGGCAATTTCTTATTCAACCATTTTTCTCCAACAATCCCCCATATGAATAAAAATTGACCAAATACAGCAAACGCTCAACGTTTATCAACAAAGACTCGGAAAGAGAGAGAGCACATAGACTAACCTTGCATCAGAAAAGGAAGGTGTTGGCCTTCAACCTTTCGTAGTGAAAGCCTATCGGATTTACTGGCTGACCAGTGAACGTGATGTCTTGAACTGTTCTGCCGTTTATGTAAACCGAGACAATAGACCTCACACAGGAGTTAGTCCAACCATTGTTCTTGTTCTCACTGGTGTATCCGGTATGGCCCTGGAACACTAGCCTGGTTCTGTGAGTGTTTTTAAAGAATTCGGCCTTGGCAATTCTTAAAGAAGCGGCTCCACTTTGCACCCACATAGGTGACCTAGATACGGTATTTCATTATACCACATCACTAAGGTCATTAAAAGTATTAGCTTAACCTTCCACCCTCACAGGGCATCACTGTATAAAGGAATGGGCAAGAGGATTTACCTCTTCAGTGACTCACCCGTTACACGAAGTTAGGTTGTCCATTTGAACCTAGATCTTGGGATCTCCAGTCAACTAGGTTGGGTTTTCCATTCCGGTAACCGTAATTAAAGGCCTTAACCCCATTCCTCTTGACGACTTTTCTACTAACTCTCGAGTTAACCCTTTGGTTAGCGGATCCGCAATGTTGTCCTTAGACTTGACATAGTCTAGAGAGACAACTCCATTTGAGAGTAGTTGTCGCATGGAATTATGTCTACGAC